AAAGTTAAATTATAATATAATACTTACCAACTGGTTATTATAAAGAAATAAAAAAACAAATTATTTAATTAGATGATATTATTTTGTGTTGCAAAAGTTAATTTACAATATAATACTTACTCCCTGGTTATTTATAAAGAAATAAAAAAAAAATAAATTTATTTGATTAGATGATGTTTTAATAAAGTTTATTTTGTGTTGAAAAGTTAATTTATAATTACCCTCTATGAAATAAAAAATAAATAGATGAAGTTTATTTTGTGTTGTAAAAGTTAATTTATAATATAATACTTACCCCCTAGTTATTATAAAGAAGTAAATTTATTTAATTAGATGATGTTTTAATAAAGTTTATTTGTAAAAGATTTATTTACCTTTATAGAATTTAGCTAAATGTTGTTTTATTTATTATAAAGCAAATATTAAATTATGATGTAAAAATCCTTTTACTATTACTATGTATTTTTAAAATAGTTATTTTCTTTGTAAGAAAAAAAAATACCTTCATTCATTGTTTTATTTGGAATATAAAGAAATTTTTTGTCTGTTCTTTAGTAGTACAAAATAATTTAGAGGTGTTAATTCCAGGTGATCATGGATGATCAATCCAAATCTGTAAAAAAAATCTTATTCAGAGACAGACACAGGTAAAAAAACGAAAAATCGGTAATACCCCTGATTTTTATCAAATTGATCAAATGTAACCAATAAATCATAGATTCTTACCATTTTTAGAATTGATAAAAATTGGGTTTTCTGAATTGCTACTATTTTTGAATAAGCCAATTAGTTAAAATTCGGGATTACCGATTATCAACTGATCTTTGTATAATCCATTGATTATTAGCATTGTCAAAAATCGGTAAATAATCATGATTTATTAAATGCAAATAATTTATTTAATGCTACAGTATATATACAAACTGCAGATTTATTTTTGGAATAAATTTGCCATATATATTGTGAATTGGAATGATACAGTCTCTTCCTATATCATAAAGTTCCTTTTTCCAAAGTTCAATATTATAATGCAGATCATGTGAATTAAATTAAGCTTTATATTAAACTTTTTTATTTTTTATAAATAATTGATTTAAAATTTTATTTCAATCAATCATTTATTTTAACACATCATGTTAATGCAATTCCATCCATTTCTGAAGAGATAGATACAGAGTTAAAAAAAAAGCGTGATTAATCCTAATTTCATTCCAGATACTGAAATATTAGAGTTCCATTCTAAGGTTTGGGACACACGACAAAACCTCAAAGATGAATTTCTTAGAGTTCTAGATTATGCTGAATATCTTGAAAAGGAATTGATTCGAATTCAGGATTCAGATTGAAGCTCTTTAGCATATTTTCGCAAATGTGACATTCTGGCTTGCACTTCATTTTCTGGCACTGATGAGGTAGACTGATTATTTAAGATAGAATGATGTATGATTTTCGATTCCGATAGATCTCCACCTTTAGATAATTCCGCACTAGAATTGTCCTTCTTTTTTCTGCTAGTCTTTTTTGTCTGCTTATCTGAGGTAACAATAGAGTTTAGTTGCATAACGTTTTCATCCATGCCAATGTTTGGTAAATGAGGTGAATCAGGAAAGCGATCTACTGTATCTGCTAAGCTGTGATTTCCATTCTGTTAAAAACGCTCGCTATTTTCCCATATATCCTCAACACGATTTTCATTAATATGGAAATTCCTTACTAGCACATATTTAGGAACCCTATTTTTGGATTTCCTAATCTCTTCGATTTGCTCAGATGTTAAAATAGTAGCACCTCGGCGATAATAAGTTTTTAGATGTGGAGTGGACATTGTCCAAAGATTTTTTTTCGAATTGAGTCGAAGATTATTACTTTGATAAAAGACGCTAAATATCGAAATTTAATATTTCACATGGATAAATAATGTTAAAAATCAACAATCATCCCTAAAAACCTTATTTTGCAATCCACGCTCTCAAACATAAATACTTTGTAAATAATTGGTTTATAAAAAAAATTTATTCCATTAAATATTCATTTTTGCTTACCACAGTTACTTTAGATGAAGAAAGCATGACAATAAAATCCAGTAACAGTCGATAGTATTCTTGATTTACATAGTGCTCTCAATATAATTCTTAATTACAAATTTATTTAGATAATATTTTTTTGGATAATAATAAAAGAAGATATTAATATGGGTATATTCCGGGTTTGGGTAAAATTTTTAAATTTTTGGGGTATGGGTTTGGGTATAAAATTTTGATATCGTGCGGTTATGGGTTGGGCATGGATCGTTATCCATGCAGACCTCTACATCATTATTATTATTTATTGGATCATTATAAGTAATAAGTAATGAAATGAACATTAAGAGAAAAAATTTATCAGCAGGCTGACATCGTCACCATTAGTTAGTTAACCTTTAGACAATACTTTGTTAAAGCAAAGAACGTTTACTAATGGTTGTTAGCGCTCACTGGTTAAATTTTTCCACCCTCTTAAATATCACAAAAACGTGATTTTTACAATTTTTATTGGTTATTATAATTACTCTATTATACCAGGTTTTTTATTTACTAATGAAAAGTAACTGTCTTGTCATTTCTCGTATACCAGCCATTAAAAATCCAGTGGCGGTAGCCACCATCAGCCAGCAAAGTAAACACAGTGTTGTAACCTCTTCCTATAACGTATACATCTGTCCCGCATGTACCTCCAAATATATTTATTGGTTGTTCATAGTGGAAGTGTTTGTTTGGACCATTGATTGTATGTTCTTTATTTGTAACAATAACACTACATAATGGGAAGACTGCATTGTAATGGTCAAGGAGGCTGTTCAAGTATTGTTCTTGGGGAATTATGTTAGGTGAAAATACCATGCCACTACTTAATTCATTTAATTTTCTTCTAAGTGCATCAGCAAATACAATACCTTCTTCCAAATCCAAAGTAACACCATCTCGTGTTATAACTACCATTTTTTTTTCTCGCCTAATAAAATTGAGAATGAACAATTTTTGCTATGACGACAAGTAGTGGTTTTAGACCAGTACAGAGAAAGAAGTAGATACCTATTGTATTTTATATACAAAAAATAATGTGAAACGTTTTACTAAACTCGTCATTTATTCATTATTGATTGATGCGTCCGACTTATCGAGTTTACACATGTAGTAATAGTAAATTTTACAATAATTTGAATAAAATAAGTAATTTGAATAAGTAATTTAAATAAACAAAATAAGTAATTTGAATAAGTGATTTAAATAAACAAATATTTTACAAATAATTTAAGTAATTTGAATAGGTGTTTAATAAAATTTAAACTAGAGTGACGACCATCTGCTATTGTTAAATAACGTTAAAAATCAACGTTTACCATTTGCTATCGTTAAATAACATTAAAAATCCAAATTAATCATTTGCTATCGTTAAATAACGTTAAAAATCAAAATTAATTCAATTTTCTTGTTAAACATAATTCTCTTTAATTATATGGCACCAATACATATATCTTAAATAGTGGATCTACTGTTGCCGAAAATTTTCAAGGGCGTGGATATAAATTAGATAGCACTAGAGAACGTGAACTTGAATCTGAACGTAATTAGTTACTCATTAAAACCGAATTTTTTGCTAATAAATGTTCTGATTTTAAAAATGCCAAAGCGCTTGCAGAAACACGATCAGATGGGCTTGCAAAAGAGTTGAAATTAAAAAATGAAAAGATTTTACATCTCCGGAAAAAGTTAAATCGAACCAGCGATGCCAAAATACAAAATGACTCGAATATAAAACAATTCAAAGAAGAAATCAAACAACTCAAAGAAGAAATCAAACAGTTACAGAGTAAAAACACTAATCTTGTATCCCAGTATTCTCTTAAAGAACTTTCTCTTAGTGGATATCAAACCAAGTATTACAAAAAAATGGAAGAATAAAGTTATTGGAAGAGGAATTATTTTCAGCTCAGAATGATTTATCTCTAATAAAATTCGAGAATAAATCCCTCAAATCTAAATTAACTGAATTGGAACATATGAATAATGAATTGGTGCAAACAAAAGATGAGTTATCTTTAAAAGTCGGTGAGGTGGAATGTTTAAAATTGGAAGCCATATCTCTCCAGGTAGAATTACAATCAGATGAATCAATTGTTGGAGGTAATGAGCCTCAAGAAAACAAAATGAATTCTCAGGATGAAAAAAGTCTTCGTAAATATTTACGTAAAGATATTCTGGAAAAAAATGGCAAAGCTAGCACGGCTAAAATGCCAGAAGTAAATTCTTCATTTAATGATACATCACAAAGTATCGAGCTAATGAATCCTGAATGAAATGTGTCTCCACAAGTTGCAAAACAGATAAACGTTTCCGGTGGAAATATTCCCAACTCCTCTTTGGATAAGTCGAATTCCGAGATTTCAGTGGGAGGAATAGAAGCAATTCCTGCTATAGCAAGCGTATTAGGTTCGCCAAAAATTCCATGGCTGATGCTGACTTTATTGATTATTATTGTTGTATTGGTTAGATTTATTCGACCTATATTGAATGCAAATAAAAAAAATGAACCCGGGATTATTCGTCCACGTATAACTAAGAATTTATTACCTATTGAATCTAAAATTTTTTGAAAATATAAAAAAAATTCAAATCAAAAATTATTACATAAAAAAAACTATGATCCAAAGTAATACTCTGACACCTTGACCACGAATTTAGAATTCTTTGGAATATCACGTGCGCGTAAAGATTCTTACGCCGATCATCAAAATAATATTTTTGTCGTCTCTTACAATAAATGACGAAAAAATTCAAATCAAAAATTATTACGTGCGCGTTCTGTTTCGCAATGCCGATTTTTAAATCCAAAGTGATACGCAAAAGTATGAGCCAATTTTTTGATCCAAAGTAATACGTAAAAAGTGATACGCAAAAGACCAAAATTTTTCAAATCGGTAGTACATCAAAGTATCAACAATACGAGAAACGGTTCAAGAAGTCCAAAACATAGCAAACTTTAGTAAACTTTTGGTAGGACGCAAAGATAGAATAATATAAGGAAAGATAGAGAAAAATTTTGCTTTTACGTCCTACCAAATAGATGGAATTCGGCACTTCGTGCCTCAAATCTGGCATTCGAATGCAACATGCAAAGCCAGATCACGAACACTATTTCGGCACTTCGTGCCTCATCCTCGAATTCGAATGCAACATGCGAGACCAAAATACAGATTGCCAATTCGGCACTTCGTGCCTCATCCCTCACAATCGAATTCATCGTAAAAGCCAAAATAAGCATTTTCCTGAAGTGATACTTATAGGTGACCGTCAACACGTGTTGAAGATGGACACGAATGTTACATGGCGGAAACTGAAATCACACTCGGAGCATGGAAAACATTTTTTGGCTTTATAGTGAAAACGACACCCTTCAAGGCGCATACAAGATTTTCCAAGAGTGATACTTATAGGTGACCATCCACACATGTTGACGATAATCATGAATGTTACATGGCGGAGTCTGAAAACACAGAAAACAGACGCCTTCTTAAATATATACTCCGCCCATCAACCTGCAATCAATACCGGGCACATATTTTTTTTCATCCAAATGCTGGCACAAACTCGAAGATGCAAACGACCACGAAATAGTCTAATTTATTAATAATTACATCATTGCGGATTTGCAAACCAGGATGCTTTGCATCCAGTTCGGGCATAGCCCTCACAATCGGAACTTCGTGCCTAGCCTCGGGTGATGAAAGCAATCAAGGAGCCAAAGAAAGCCGAAAACCTCATCGAAAGGAAGCAAATATCAAGCCAATTAGGCACCAAAACGGGTACCCAAAAATAATTAGGTATCAGTCTAATCATAAGTAGGTAACAGTTTAATCATAAGTATGTAACAGTCTAACGTAAGTAGTTAACAATATATATATATTGTTAACTACTGGATTCAAACACTACTTCAATTCATCTATTTTTGATAAACTTTTTTGTGTAACACATTATTTTAGGGCTAAACATAGTAAATTCAGTAAACTTGTGCAATTTTGAAGCTCAAATTCTCCAAAACAACATGACATATCAATGAGATGAAATCGTGATTTTGTAGAGGAAGGTCTTGGCTTCAAATATAAGATTTATTTTGGGGTGTTGCATTTCCATTTTTGGAGAATTTGAAAATCTACACAACCAATAAAAAGTTGTGGGACTAAGTGACTTGCATCACATGAAACTACAAAGTATTTTAGTGAATACAATGAAGGTTCTTTGGAACATGAAATAGATTTTGTTCCAAGGATTTTTTTTTTTTGCAGGCATAAAGAACTCTTATATTCGATGGTAAATAATATTAACACACATAATATAATTAAACTGGTTATTTAAAAAGTAATCTGACATGTATTCAGGAAATTTTCTCCGCCATAATATTACATCCATAAATTTTAATATGTAAAATTTGTAATATTTGCATAAAAAATTATGTAATATTTACACTCAATGTAATGATTGCATAATTTTTGTATGCTTATTTGCATAATATCACAGGGCCCATCATAAACTTACATAAATAGTGTAATAATTACATAAATTTGCATCAGAAAAAATTTCCTGATGATGCATAGGGGTGAGTTTGAGTCCACCTCCTCAAAAGCAAGAAGGAATTGTCTTAAGATAGGATTTATGGACTCAAACCTGATTTTACTGTAAAATATCATGGAAATAAAAACATTTTAAACAAGACTTTTGAGATTTGCTTTGGTGAAGTAAGCAGCGATCCAAGTAATAATAATGATCAAGATAAACTCAAATCTGACAAAAACAAGTTGGTGCGTTTTGGTAATGATGCAAAGTATGAACTTTTATCTTGTAATTTTAATAAAAATAAAAATTACAGAAGAAAAAATTTGAAAAGAATTTTAGAAATACCAATAATATTATTAATACAGTGTAGCAGGGTTGGCAAATTGACTGGTCCATTGAGAAAGATGGATTTTGGACTGGTCCATTGCAATTAATAAAATACTAAATATGGTCAAAGTGTTACACTAATGGACCCAATGGACCACCAATAGACCATCAATGGACTGCACATTTGCCAACCCTGCAGTGTAGAGGTAAATTTTTTTAATATTTTTTATTCATTTATTTGTATTATGTATGTTCTTTAATTCCTTTTCTTAATAATAGGAACAGTGATGGATGTATATCATCTTGCACATCCAACTTCAATATGTGAGAATGGCAAAATTTATCCAATCAGTGAATTGGTAAAAATATCTTCACTATTAGTTCCTCTGTATCAAACAATGGAAAAAGATTTGATGATCAAATTTTTTGAGTCTGCTTTTCAACTAAAGACTAGTGCCGTAAATTATGATGATGGTAGTAATTGTATTCACGGCATATAAAAAGTGGTTGCAATTACCTTTGCAACCACTTTTGCAACCATACTTTTTCCTTTTTTGGATTACGGCACTAGTCTTTATTTTCAACTCCAATCATTGATAAAAAATATCATTGATGAATATGAATATCATCTTAATTCAATGTTAACAGCCATAGTGAGTAGAGATGAACTAGATGATGGTGTATTTCCTACAACTTTAAAATCTCCTTATAATTATTAATCAATTGATTGTGTTATAGTTCAATTTTCATTTCAGTATTAGTAAATGCTTTTATACTTTTTAAAACAACAAAGTCAAAAAAAAATAACCCTGATCAACAAATTTCACCACACTTGTTAAGTAGTCATAGAAAGATAGTTGTACTAATTGAAATCTTCATTCTACTATAGAGTTATTAAATTTCCAGAAAGCATGTTCAAATTGAGGTTTATTTGTCTCTCATTTATTTGCAAGTTATCAATCAATTAAAATTAAAGATTTAAAAGAAATATGATTTAAATGATTTAAACCAGTGTTGAACACATCAACTATTTTCATTTGTTAATTATTTCATGAGTTAAGCCTTGTAGGGGAAGAATTTTTTTAGTAAATTATTTGTATTTGGTGCACCTATATTGATGGAATTAAACAATTAGAAGCAGAAAGTGAAAAACTAAAAGGCTTAAATAATCAAAGAATTAATAAAAGAAATCAATGAGTTAAAAGTTCAACTAGCACAATTACAACAACAAAATGGTCAATTAGTTGCTCAAATTGAAGTTAAAAAATGACCTTAATTGAAAATAAGAAAGTAATTTAAAGAAGATCGAGGAAATTTTCCTCTTGATGATAATCCAAAGATAATAAAAAAAATTAGCTATAATATTACTGTTAAAACTACTGTCTCTGACTTAAAAGATGAAGATTTTGCCAAAGCTGTTGATGAATATAAAAACAATATTTCAAAGAATAAAGGAAATCATGATGATAAATCTGATTATGAATAGCAGGTATAACTTTTTTAGGTTTTATAATTGCCATGATTTATGTCATTAAAAGAATTAAAATAAAAAAATAAACCAATGTTGCAATAATAAGATTATTTTCCTTCTAAGGATTTTTGTTTTTTGTTGGGTAATAGTACATTTTCATTCTGCTTTCTTTTTATAACATTTATTATTTTTCTTTCTTCTTGATAAATTTCATAAATAATCTTTTCTTTTCTTAGATAAGTTTCCAGTGTCTGAGTATCATTTATTTTTGAAAATATAAGTTCCTTTTTCAAAATACTTCTAATGGTGCTGTAATTTTGGGTTTCATCGTAGACCTAATGTAAATTAATTTCATATTGTTATTTTTATATAGGGGTAGTTTTATATATCACTTAACAAATAGGACATTCATTGTAAAACTAATTGCAATGATAATAACTAAATCTTGATCCTGAGATTCTTGGTAATACAAATGCTCACTTTGTCTGGTTTTGTCGTCCGGATCTTTAGTAATAGTAATGACTTTGGCGGTATACATGATGAACGTTTTCTTATAACTCTAGATTTATATACTCCCTTCTCGTGAATGACATTGACTGCTTTCATATTAAGGCTGCTTGCCGAAACTAGGGAGTTTCGGCAGGATGGAGTATCGAAAGAGTTTCGGCAAATCGTTCTGAAATGCTGAAATGCTGAAACTATTGCTGACTTTTGGTATAAATGTTAGTAAGATTTTAATATAGGTTCGCCATAGTTTAACCTAGAGGTTGCTAATTGACCATTCTAGTTAACAAACTAGTCTAATCGACTAAATTTTTTTTGATCAACTAATACTAATATTTAATATTAATATTCAAATAACAGACGACTAAATAATCGACTATTTTAATCGATTATTCAGTTTAGAGTTTTCTATTCGTAATACATATGTAAACTCGATAAGTCGGTCACTCGATAAGTCGGCCATATGAGCTCATCCCCACATGACCGACTTATCGAGTTTACATATGTACAACCTAATACTAATTCGAATCACTCGTTTTATTCATTTAATTGTTTTATTCGTTCTATTTGTTTTACTCGTTTTATTCGTTTTATTCGAATAAACCTTCAATGTAATTCGAACACTCAAATTCATAACGAGTGAAACAAATATTTCGAATAAACCTCATTCGAATAGAAACTCTAACTGAAACCATAGTTTTGGCATTTCGGCACACTATGTAGGAGGCTAATTAGGTTTCAGCAGGTGATCTTAGCATCAATATAAGTCATATCATATTTTTCTTATAATCGGAATATACATGAAAAATACATATCATATACAGAGTTTTTCTTTAATTACCTGATAAAATTTGATTCAAATTTTCGAATTCATCATCATACTTGTGGGCGAAACTAAAATTCAATCTGGCGAAAATTTAGCAATTTTATACTTGAAATGTCAAAACTTTCGACAAGCGGCAAACTTTTTTTTGCATGTAAAAAAAAAAAATTTTTTTAATAAAATGTGTTATTTTTAAAATATCGAACCTCCAAATATTAACTCGGCGGCCAACTTTATCTGATATTTGGGAACATTTGAGTATTGAGAAAGAGTTTCTAAAGAGAAATATGCAGCAACTTGTATATATTACGAAAACGTCAAGCAGTTTCTCCACAAAACATATCAAATGAGTGTGTAGTTTGTCCAGATGAAGTTGGATGGTTTTGGTTGGATGCCGTTTCTTATAAAAAAGAATGGAACTGATCTATTGGAAGAACAAGTTTGTAATACATGCATTCAAGCAACTGTAGATATTGAAAATAATTTAAAAGGTAGCGAAGATGATAAAAGATATATCATTGAATAGACAAATTTAAACTTATCACCTGAATCAATTTTAGAGCTGGATAGACAAGAAAAGTTTTATCGATCAATCAAAAGAAATTTACATTAAAAAAATTGGAGAAAAATCATGATTATATAATTTTTCTCAAAAGTCCCAATACTATATTTTACCTAAAAATAAATGTGGTTTTTTAAAAAAAAAAATTTATCGGATTTTTTATTATATATTATAATTATGACATCATCAAGTTACAAATTAATTTTTTGGGTATATTAAAATCCGTGCATAAAATCCTTTTAAGGAGTGTAACACGATAATAATCAAAGAAACCTTGACAGTTTAAGGAAAAAGATTCATCATTCATTATACGGATCTATTGTTAATATTTAACTGTTTATTTTATTTAAAATATAATGTTACGACAGTGAAAACTAAGTGAATTCTTTAAATTCTATTATTAACCCATAATAACAATAACCAAATTATATATATGGTTAGGTGTCATGTATTGTCCATTACGGCGCCCCACATATAAAACAACCCTATTTTTTAAATAATAACTAGTTTAAATAAATATTAAATGCTTATTAAATTGGATATGGAACTAGTTAATAATTAGACTGTAAAACTAATTTTTTTTGGAATGAAATTGTTTCAAAAAAATGATAATAGTAAAAATTTAAATAGTAAATCACGATAGAAAGTTTTTGGAACCTATCCCGATCTTGTTTCAAGACTTGCTAAACCACAAGATGCTATAAAGCAACAAACAAAAACTTTACAATGAGGATTCAAGAAGTTGGCAAGAAGAAAATATGTAAATAAATAAAAAATCCAATAATGAGAAAAGGAAAAAGAAGCATAATTGGAAATAGAAGCATAATTGGATAAAAATTTATATGGGAATTGTCAAACAAGCACATGGTGCATTCCCAACTTCTTTCAAAAACAACTTGGAAGGTTCTTCTTAACACCTCACATTATAAATTTCGAATCCGTTTTTTTTTCAAAGATCAAAAAGTTGCCAAATTTACATCAAACCATCTAAGGCAATAAAAAATAATTGTAAACTCGATGGAAATAGAGATCGCGTGGGAAGTTTCAATGTTTGGTTTACGTTCCATTGCTGAGGGACATATGCATAGTGACACCTCGCATTAACTGGTTGCCCTCCATAAATGCATAAAGAATAATTTAGGAAATTTCATTTCACACAACATCTATGGTTACATACCAAAAAAAAATTGTTTAAATAGCATACATACACATATTATCAAATTATTTATTAGCATAGATTAGCGATGGGTAATGTTTGCTGTTGCGGGAAAAAAGACAAAAATGTCATTAAACGACAACATTCCAAAGACTCGTTGTCATCACAAGAATCAAAAAATGATTACAATAATAGTAATAATAATAATAACCCAACGATAAATCCACAAATGACAATAACGCCAGTAATGGACGATAAAGATACTTACAGTGATGAAAGAAAACAAGAGCATGGTATTTGTACAAAGTGTGCTAGATATAATACATCAAAGGCACGATGCAAAACGTGCGATCCAAATCCTGAGGATGTTAATGAAGAACCACTAGGTAGAAAATTAATTAGTCTAAAGTATTTCTTTTGTTTAATAAAATTTATTTATTTATTAAAAATGTTAGTATTTGTTTGGATGTAATTAGAGGATCCTGGTAATCAATTGGAAATTAAATTACCTCATGAAGGAGAAGAGGATGAGGAGCCACCAGGTGAGTAGATTATTGAATCACGAAGGAATATATATAATAATAACAATTTTCAAATAAAATGTTTCTTTTTTTTGTATGTAATTTAGAAGATCCTGATCATCAGTTTGAAATGGAATTACCTCATAAAATTGAAAGTGATGATGATGACGGTGATTATGACAAGCCAACAGGTTGATACAAGATTATCTATGTAAAATCAGTTTGGTAGTAATTTTAATAAATATTTTTTTAATAAATTAGATGCTGATAAACCTAATGAAGAAGAAGAAGAAGAACCACCAGGTAAATAGATTAAATTGATATAGTAAAGTTACATACTTACAATACAAATAATCATAAATGCGTATATTAGAGGATATTGATGGTCAATTTGGAATGGAATTACCTGATAAGATCGATGAAGAACCACCAGGTGAGTTGATGATATTGATTAATGTATTGAAGTTAAATTAATTGATGTAATTATTCAATTTATTAATTAAAAATGATATATGTATGTATGTGCATGTATATATTTGTTATTTTTAGAGGATATTGACGGTCAATTTGAAATGAAATTACCTGATGATATCAATGATGAACCACCAGGTGAGTTGATAATATATTGAAGTTAAATTGGTTGATGTAATTATTCAATTATTAATTAAAAATGATATATGTGTGTATGTGCATGTATATACTTGTTATTTTTAGAGGATGTTGATGGTCAATTTGGAATGGAATTACCTGATAATATCAATGAAGAACCACCAGGTGAGTTGATGATATATTGAAGTTAAATTGGTTGATGTAATTATTCAATTTATTAATTAAAAATGATATATGTGTGTATGTGCATGTATATACTTGTTATTTTTAGAGGATATTGATGGTCAATTTGGAATGGAATTACCTGATAACATTATTGATGAACCACCAGGTGAGTTGGTGATATTGATTAATGTGTTGAAGTTAAATTAGTTGATGTAATTATTCAATTTATTAATTAAAAATTATATATGTGTGTATGTGCATGTATATATTTGTTATTTTTAGAGGATATTGACGGTCAATTTGAAATGAAATTACCTGATGATATCAATGATGAACCACCAGGTGAGTTGATAATATATTGAAGTTAAATTGGTTGATGTAATTATTCAATTATTAATTAAAAATAATATACATGTGTGCGTATATGTATGTACTTGTTATTTTTAGAAGATATTGACGGTCAATTTGAAATGAAATTACCTGACAATATCAATGATGATATTAGCAATGATGAGCCACCAGGTGAGTTGATGATATATTGAAGTTAAATTAGTTGAGGTAGTTATTCAATTGATTAATTAAAAATGATATTCTAGAGGATATTGACAATCAATTTGAAATTAAATTACCTGATAATACTAATGATGATATTAATGATGAAGAACCACCAGGTGAGTTGACGATATTGATTTATATATTGAAGTTAAATTGGTTGATGTAATTATTCAATTTATTAATTAAAAATGATATATACGTTATTCCAGAGGACATTGACAATCAATTTGTAATGGAACTACCTGATATTAATGATGATGAACCACCAGGTAAAATAGACCAATTATTTATTTAAAAAGAATTTGATTTTATGGATTTTTTTTAATTATAATAATTATAATGTATTTTTTTTGGGGGGCATAATTAGAGGATATTGATAATCAATTTGACATGGAATTACCTCTTGAAATCAAAAGTAATGATGACGAAAAAAAAGATGATGATGATGATAAACCTCTAGGTAACTGAAACCATTAATTCATGATGATACTTTAATTATAATTATTTATGTAAATAAAAATAACCTCATGAATTTTTTCCTTGTGATATTTATTTAGAGGATATTGATAATCAATTTGAAATTGAATTACCAGACAATGTTTATAATAATAATGAAGAGGAGGAGACAATAACAATAAACTCTGGTAAGTAAATTAATTTAGTTATCATTTTCATTTTAATCAAGAAATAATGTTTTTACATATTATAGATTATATTACAGAGGTTCAAAGTAATCAAACAAATTCAAGTAATCAAGTTGATATTAGAGTCTCAGGTACATTATCTAATACAAATAATAGTAGCAGTAATGATAACAGAAATAATAATGTCATTAATTATGAAGGCGATGAACCACCAGGTAATAATAATTTAAATAATTTGCTAAATAGTAATACTTATCACAATTATTAACAATGCTTATCTTTAATAGAGGATATTGATAATCAATTTGAAATGGAATTGCCAATGGAATTATCAGTGGCAACATAATTATTCATTTATATATACATCATTTTAAAACTTTATTTGTTTATCTCTAATTCGTAGATTTATATTTTGTATTTTATTATTTATTAATTAATTAATATGTATTTAATTAGATTCAGATAAATTTTAATAATAATAGTTTTTTGGGTTGGGTAAACTCGATAAGTCGGACACAAGTGGCTTGGGATGATGATCTGACTTATCGAAATATGTAAACAAAAAAAGACGTTTAAATTTATTTATTTATTTATTTATTTATTTATTTATTTATAAAATTAATATAATGATTGAAAAAACAATTATTTAGTAAAATAGATAGAAAAAAAGACACTATTCTTTATCTAAATAATATCCATACTAGTTTGTATTAAAGAATTATTTTAAATCTTTTAATCCTGAAACAAAAACTGTTTGCTTGCATATCATTATTATGTGTTGCAAGTAATTATATAGATTTTGAATGCTTTTTAAAGCAATTTTATAGATATTGGTGGCCCAAATCTTCTTCCTTTTCTTCGGTGCTTCTTTGAATTGCCGCAATAACTTCGTCATATTTCAGTTCCTAAGTCAGAGTCGATCTCGATGTAACCTCTTGCTGTAATAATAATATCATTATTACTAACATTGATTTGATCAAAAAATAAATCTCAAGTGATGAAATTATAATAATGATATTTGATATTGTTTTCCAGATGCGTAATGAACTTTGTTAGTTAAATAACTTTCAGATTGGTCAAATAGCTGTTAAATAACTGATCAGCAAAGTTTGTTATTTAATCAATTAACAGTTTAAAGTTCAAATAGTTCAAAAAAAGATTTGAACCAGTTAAATTGCAAACACCGGAAAAATAGATAAACTATTACCATTCTTTAAAAAACACTTGTGCGAAGGAGGCTCTATACCACAAGCATCTACATTGAGTCAAGTTTACTTGCCTCATGTATTTTGAAAATCATTATGAAAAATTATCAATAATAATAGATGAATGACCGTTCAAGAAGGGTTTTCAGCACACTGTTTTGTTATCGAACTAGTAACTGTTGATTTTTTTTAACAATGCAATTGTTCAGGCTTGTGTACTATATTTTGTCATCTCTTGAATCTTTGCGAAGTTTTCATGTAACAAAACCGAGAAAAGTGATTGATTACATAAAATTATCTGCAAACATATCATTTTAATAAAACAGTTTTGAAGTTAACATAATTTTCACGCGTACATATATAAATTCTAATTTTAAAAAATTTTTTTTACCCATTCGGTTTTTAAATCTAAATAATGTTATACATGATCAAATAATTCCTCTAATAATAATCCATAGGCAAGTCAAGTATGTTCATATTATTGTTAAACTAAAATATCAAGTTACATTTTAACTAATTATTTTTCGGAAATGCCAAAATGAGAACTTCTTTTTTTTTTCTTTGGCCATATGTTACTGGTTTATTTTGCATAAGGAAATTTGCATGCTCATACAATGAAGAACGCGAGACTACATACAAATAGAAAGATATGCATTAAAAAAGTTAAAATAAAAGACGCGATTTTTGCAAAATAAATTTTACCTTAAATTCCAACATCGATTTCAATTATATTTTATCGACTAAATATATCCGTCAACCCAATGTGTTGAATATAGAAAAAATTCTTTTCTAAATAAAAAAGATATAAAGATTAAGAAAAGTACAATCAAATCACGTTATAATATTTAATTATTACTATATACAAGTGGTCCAAATGTCTCTATCTGTTCAAGATCTTTTTTTTCAATTCCTTTTACCGCTAAAAATTGTCGCAATTTATAAATGATTAAATGCATCGCTGTTAAATTAAACACAAACAAAAAATTAACACGGCTTCCATTATACACTTTTGCCTTTTAGAATTTTTCACTCTTTTGGAATCATCGTGATAACACGGGTTATCTCTCACTCTGATTTTAATATAATGATCTACATACGGTTCATCGACAATCACAGTTCATATGATTTTAGCGTAACATACGCATTGTATTAATATAATTTGTCTAGTTGTTAATCCTGATTGAGTCTAGGAATCATGATTTCAGAAGCATCAGGGAATTTAGATAAAAGAAAATTTGGATGCTAATTAGTTTGCAAGTATATTAATGGCTGAATTTCATGCATCTTGAAAAGAATTATCATCAGAAAAATAAATATCTCCTGAGTTTTGATTCAAACGAAATGTCAATTTGTCTGATTCACACTATAATTATTATCAATTATTATAATCACTAAAATAATCAGTGATAATATCAACACATGTAAACTAACTGTCAGTGAAGTATTTGTCGATGAAATAATTGTTGACGAAGTAAACGTGACCGCGGCAAATCCTACTTTTGTAGGCAAAAATATTGTAATTAAACATTCTCTATGCTTCTAAGTAGATAAATGCAATTTTTTATGTGTCAATAACTTTTTTTGTTATCAAGTAATGGCTTCTTAAAGAACCCTACATCTTTTGACTTTGGAAACATCATTCTTTTCGGAAGCTGTTATAAAGATCACGACTTTTAAAAAATCTTGTAGATAACAATAATTTTCAAAGAATTTATCATAATATTAATGCCTTTTGTAGCTTAGCAGAAGCAATCAATTTACTAAATCAAGGTGATGATTGTAATATTGATAGCGATGAGGATAGTGTTGGAAATTGCTGGAACTGGAACACTGGAATAGGAAATTTCCAACACTAGATGAGAATGGTAAATCTAAGAATTCCTTGATGTTTCAAAAGAAATATGCATTAAAATGTAGGGTTTAACATATTACTATAATTGTCTTCATTGTTATAATTAGCTAATCAATAACAAGCCATATAGAATTAAAAAGTGGAAACAAATAAAAAAAATAAAATTAACTGAATGATATAACAGAAGGAGGCTTTGAATATGAAGTGGACACTTTGATGGAATTTTCTCAAGTGGTATGGTGCCGATCATTTAGAGTCATCAACAATTATAGCTAACTTCTAACTCAGGGTTGGGATTCGTACATGCACACATGCACGTACAGTCATACCTCTTTTATATCCCCCCTTTTGTATCAGTACTTTTGTGGGATATAATTGAGGTGGGATATATCTCAAGCAGTTGATCATTTCATGTGACTTTTAATTTTATACATGTGGTGATATATAAAATTTTATTTTACAATATGTACGTGTTTTGCGTTTTATTTATTTCTATTAATAAATACT